GAGAGAAAAAATTAAATATGAATTCCCCTTTACTACCCCCTCAAAAATTAATCGTTCCTCGGGAATTTTCCCTCCAGCTAGGTTTCAATTTGTTTCCTGTACTGTGGGTGCATATTTTTGTAGTATACTCGTATACTACAAAACTGGTAGCATACGAGCCTTTCTGTAGCCTTTCTCTCCGTAGAAAATGTCATGTGTTTAAGGCAGCACAAGCATTTTAAGCATTTCCACTTTTACAAAATATTACGTTTGGGGAAGGTGTAAGCTTGCTTGAGCGAAGACTCCAGACGGTTCAGTGGTCAGTCGTCCGGTAAGTTTCAAAGTCTTTATCTTTATCGCCCCTATATATGAGAAGATTTTAAAAGCTCTTATTTGTTGTTCTTTCATGAGGTGTGCAGATTTCAAGAACGGCCTTAAAATTTGCGTTTAATTTTGCGACCGCGGTCAGATTTGCGTTCTAATATGACAGTCGAAGAGTGTTATAATTTGAAAAGCCGAAATTTACATGTAACAGTTCATACGATCGACGCTCAAGTTGGGTAATGTACCTTGAGGAAAGCCGTCAAATGACCATCGGGCAGGTGTGTATTTACCTTTATATGAACGAATCAAGCTTTACTAGCCTTACCCGGAGGTATGTGAAAGTGTTATTGATATCGCAAAGGATATGCATAATCCTTGTCAAGGGAAACTTTACGCTCGACCAATCATTTAAACTGAAATCACGAGACTTTTGGGTTACGCACTAAACATAACGGTAAGTCTTTGGCGACCCAAAGAGTGAGGGAGTGGAATGGATGCATGAATAGTTGGTATTCCATTGCTTCTATTTAATATGGTGCCGTGATATCTATGAACAAAACAAGTTTAGGCGGGCAAACAGAGTCATGTCGGACGTGTTACGTCTTTGGAGTTACGAAACGAGAACGCTTCTATAGATGTTCTTCTTAGTTCATGTCAGGAAAACGAACTAAACTCACCTGAAGGGATACTTAGGCATCAAATTTCACTTCCTTGTTCTTTGTGTGTTCTTGATATTGACAATATTACGCCTGTTTCAGACGTCGTGCTACTGCCGTGCTAAGCTGGCTCGACTGTAGCACAACACTAGCACGACTTGGCTTTAGACGACGAATTTAATTCAGTCTAATAGAAAGGTTGTTGCCGAAAACAAAACACAGAAATAAAGAAACGATTTAGCAAACTTTTAAGTGTATTCTAATGTATGCATAATTTATGAATTGAGTTCAGCACGACAGTAGCACGACTTGGTTTTAAACGCTGCTCTACTGCCGTGCTAAAGTCGAACTTAATTCGTCGATCAATTTAGTTCGGCACGGCAGTAGCACAACGTTTGAAACGGGCCTTACATGTAAAAAACCAGGGCCGTACACAAAGGAGCTTCATGTAATTTTAGGGAGGTGAAAAAAGTTTTAAAGAATATAGCGTAATATTATATGATTTCTCTTATGTTATAAGAATGGGCTAAAGGCTTATAATTTGACTGATGACGGGCCAGTTTTATATTTCTCGTGAATTTAGACACAATGGTAGAACAACTCTTTGTATTGCTAGTGATTTGACTCGACAATTTCTGTCGTGTTTGCGTCATGGTTGGTACAGCCTTGAGTCAAACGTCGTGCTTGAATTGCGCCCATTGTGTTCGTAAATCTCTTATTTAATAAGTCCCTTGTAAACGGATGCAACATTGTTGGTTGTCATATGTTGCGCCCTTTTGCACACTGTTGCATGTTGTTGCGTGTTGTTGGGAGTTGTTGCGCAAAGTTTGACACCAGTAAAACTTTTGAGCTAACAACTCTCAAAATTTCTTTTGTTCTGTGATCGCCGAAGCGTATCCCAACAATGTTGGATGCGTAATGCATAGCTCTTCCAATATTGTTAGGGCCACTCACGCGCATTGAAGTCTTATGGTCTGTATCCTTCCCACGCCGATGCACTGCAGCTCCTAACATTGTTGGGAGTTGTTGCATCCGTTTGCACACTACTGCCAACACGAACGAAACAACTCTCAACATTGTTGGCCCAACAAAGTTGGGAGTTGTTTCGTTCTTTTGCCGGTAAACTAACCTTTCTCAATATGAATCTGTGCCCGAACAAAGGGTACCTATTTGACTCCCGTAATTTGATCAAACTTGTGTCAAGAGAGGAGTCAAAGAGGCCAAATTTATACGTCACGTTTTTAAGAATCAAAATTTTAGGCCTTCAATATGTAACTACAGAGAGCTGTAAGAATCGCAATGTGTCTAATAATAATAATAATTATTCCGTTATTTACCCTCGGCAGTATTTATGGCACTAATGCTGTAACGATAGGTTTTGCCCTTCCAAGCGCAAATCGGGGAAACCGGCGTTGAGGGAATTCGAGCGACTCCGGTGTATGAAAAAACAAGGGGGGCGGGGGAACTGACTCAGTCTTCTGTAACTCGCTTGGCTAGCAAGACTGGAATTCGTCACTGTTCCATAGTACTACGGATCTGCTACAACTGAAAACAAGAAAGCACTCAAACTTGGACTTGAACAGTTTAATCTTCAGCTCGTGGACGTAAATCATACAGGCACGTCCACGTGAATCGAAAAACAGGAATAACAGTGCTTCATTTATACAGACCGATCAACTTATTACAACATCACAAAACAAATGGAAAGGAGGCTGAAGAAAATCAGCTGAAACCTGGAAACTCATCTGGATAAATTCAGCTTTAAATTTCATATGCTAAACTAAATGACTCAAAATCAAATGTCAGTCAAGCAAATGAATTTCGGAAAGGTATAAAGATTGAGCAGCCACTAAAGCTGTGGAAAGAATGTCTGATACAAATAATTCCTAACCCGTGAAATAGGTAGTACAATACTACGCACTTTTTATGCACTAATTCCATTGTCTTCTTCTCTGTTTACTAGTAGCTGTTTTGTAGTAGTTGTTAGTATCTGTTACACGGGTCAAGTAAAATCATATGTAATTTTGTGTATAGTAAGTTAGGTGTCCCCAGTTAGTTTACAACTGTGTAAAGTAAGTAACTAACCCTCACTCTTTGCCTTCTGAAGTAATGTCATCTCCTAGCCTTCAGTCTTTTAAAGTTTCGCTGATTAAGTACCTTCGCTCATAATTTACCTTAAAATACTAGGCATAGTGTCTTTAATATAAGTTTATGCATTATTATTAGGCATCTAGGTTTATAATTTATAGTCTAATTTATGGTCTTTTAATATATGTTTATATATTAATTAATTTTTTTTTCTTTTTTCTTTTTTGGAGGGTATGTCTTAGCATGGGAACTTGGTTTCCCCCTACTACCGTCCTGTTAACCATTTTTGTATTTTTGTTCGATTGTATATGTTAGTATTAGTTCATTTGTATCAGTTATGTATGGTTACAAACTGTGATTAAAGATTAAAGATTATCATTATATTATCATAATCATTTTATTTTATATTATAATAATACTAATTTTCTTAACACAGGAGCTGTGGTAAGGGGTTCAGTTAAAGCTACAGGCGAAATGAACGTCACACCATCCTGTAAAGAAAACAATGGAGGACAATGAAAATGACAATGACTTTGAGGAGGACACTTTAAGAGGTGTATATAAACTGTATGAAACGAGTTTAGTATAGTAGTTGACGTTGTAACATAGATTTCAGTATTAATCGCTATTTCGGGAACAAGTACAGAATTCTTAAGTTTGTTTAGTCTTCTTTCTTGGGAAGCCTGTGTAGCTAGCGGTTTGTTTATAGTCGTAGCTTATTCCAGGCGTTGAGATAGTGGAGTGCTGTGCAAAGTAAGAGAGCGGGAGAAAAATAAGGAGATGAGGTTGCGGGAGAGAAACTCTCACCCCTTACCCCACCCCCTCGTTGTTTTTCCTGCTCTCATCTCTTCGCGCCGTCCCCACGATCTGAACACCTGGAACATGATAGTTGTAGAGCGCACACATTTTCCCCATTCCCCTCGCGGCTTCTCCGCTCGTTCAGGGGGACGCTCGCCACTGAAAATCGCCAGCCGCTCAGGTTAGATTGACCTTTCCGCATAAAACGTCTCTTAATAGCCGGAAAGAATAAACAAGTTTGTCAGAAAGTGTGAGTAAGGAAGGTAAGAACAGTTACAGTACGTTCCCGGTACGTGCTTCCTAACTCAGACAGTCGACCAGTCTTATTTTAAACCCAGTAACGAACCTTGGTCGCGGGGTAGAGTTATACTAAGCCTTAACTAAAATATGGAATGGCAAGTTTTACTTTAACACTGACTATCCACCATCTGTTTGAAGTCTTATATCACCTGAACTCTCGATCATTTATACTTTTAATCACTCAATTAAAAATAGTCCTAGGTTGTTGAATATGACGTCAGCCTACGCCCGCCTGTACGAACGCTGTACAGACTGTAAGGAAAGGGCAGGGGTCACTGTGCAAGTAAAGGGATAGACGAAGGAGTCCAAGACATGCATCTTGCGTTTGTCTGGGCGAAAATTTAACCAGTTCAGTTCTTTCCTCAATCAGCAACAACGAAATTTTTTTATCAATTAAAGGGGTAAGTTTGTAAAGAAACTGTGGTGTTGCGTCGGTAGAGAAGTAAAACTTACACAAAGACTTAGTTTTATCAACTGAGCTGATAATTAGAGCAAATCGGCAAAGTAGAAAGATCATGATAAACTGGAGTTCAGAAGACGCGACAGAAGAGGGCGATTCAGGAACTAAAAACCCAAAATCTTTTGATTGTACATGTAAGTAAACTTCAAACAAAAAGGGGGCTTGTTAACCAGGGTCTTCACTGGCTCTGCACTACATTTTCAGTTTTATTCTCTGGCCTCCGCTAGTTCAGTTACTGGCAAAACTCTGTTTGTATTTTTGTTTCAGTAGTTGCGGAGACTAGCAAAAATGCTGGCAATGATGCATTTCATAAAGATGATTTTGTCAAAGCTATAAACTTGTACACAGAGGGAATTGAAGTGAAATGCAAGGATAAGGATCTGAATGCAAAATTGTATAACAACAGGGCATCAGCTCACTATCACTTGGGTAAATATCATATTCATATTTACGCATTGTCAACATAGCACTAAATTCCGTATCCAACATTCTATTCTCTAATTTGTATCCCAGCCCTTCTTCGTTAAGACACTTCTGGAATCTCTATGTAACTCGGTCTCTATTGCCCCATTGATGAATCAGGGTAAAGTCTTAGGTGGGCGAACTTTTTAAAGCTTAAGAAAGTAACAGAGGGGAAGAGGGGTGGGTTCTCGATAGACCTCGATAACATCGTCTCAAAGCAGATAGTGCCTGGTCTCTTGATTTACGTGTTCATTGATAGTTCAATTCACGCATGCATCTTCCCGTTCCACCGATGTATACTGCATTCGCAAGAAATCTTATAAAATACTCAATGTTGCTTCCTTGGGTTACTTAAAGATCCTTAGATCGCACAGCATGTTCAGTGTCGTGTCGAATATGAATACAGCCCGGGTGTACGCATCGTTTAAATACAAAACAGGCAATGCCCCTCAATTAAGAGACCCCTGGATAAAGCATAAATTTTAAGTGCTGATTTTTTTCGAGCTGATAGGGCAATTCTTTCTAATCTACTTGAGGATTATTCTTTTTAATTAATGAGTAATAAGAAAAAATTCTTGACAGAGATGTGATGGCGAACGTTGAGCCTGCTCAGTACCTTAGAAAGATGATTTGTCAATTAGTGACACAGGCAGCTCAGAGGGAAAAATCCGTGTACTCCCAATACTCCCTGTGTCACTGATTGTAAAATTATCGTTCTCATGTATTCAACAGGCTCCAAATTCACCATCACATCTGTATCATTGCGCATAAGTACATATCAACATTCTTGACCTAGCAGTATGCAGGTTATTTGTCACTTTAACCTTGTACAGTAGTGGCCTTAGCTCCCACTAGTCTCTTGTAGCTTAGTCGTAGAGCATCTGGACTAGCAGACAGAAGGTCATAGCTTCGAATCCTATTGGACCACCTGCGTCACTGATTGAAAAGCCATCTTTCTCAAAAAACTCTTTTTCAGAGAATTACCATGATTGTCTGAGTGACGTAAAAGCTGCGACAGCACTACAGCCGTCTTATCTAAAGGCGATTATCAGAGGTAAAAATAAATTGCAGTAGAAAACCTTTTCCTCCATTTAATCATTTCAAATGAGTCGACTTTTTTTCCCTAGGGGCGAAGACCTGTTTAAAGTTGAAGCAGCTCGAAGAAGCCATCATCTGGTGTGATAAAGGAATAACCGTATCCTTTCTATGTTATCGTCTTCACAGACCTTCTTTTTCTCTTTTTTGACATCTTAGTGTGCGCGTACGAAAAGAAAAGCCGCAGGGGATTTATTAAGCCGCAACGCACTGTATAAATTACTCAAAAAGAAGGAAGGAAAAAGCGTGTGCGGACAGACTATCTTTAATTAGAAGACCAAAGACAAATCCCTGACCGCACAGATTATTACCTCCTTTACTTTTACTAGGCCAATGTCTCTTTTTTTATGTTTTAGTAAATTAAGCTTGAATCGATAAAATTTGTTTAAATATTAAGTGAATTTTTGGTGTCGTGTTCTGACGTCTCACACAAAGAGTAGCGTACAAAATGGATTATCGAACCATTTTAAAATACAGCTCAACTGATGCTGCTGCTACTCAATCGTGTCATTCCTGCCACTGCCGTCAGCCTAGTTTAAGGTAAAAGCACATTATTTTCTCTCCTCTTAACTCTTGCAAGGTTGACAAGGACAATAAGGATCTGTTGGAGATAAAGACTTGTTCTGTCATAGAACGCGAAAAGATTTTAACACAGGAAGGCAATAAAGCAGCAAAAGAGGAGGGCGATTCACGAACAAACCAAAAATCTCTTGATTG